ATTGTATGATTTCATTGCTCAGTACTTCGGTTCGCATGCGATTGGCGTTGCGTTGACTCGTGAACTCGTTTTGCAACAGTTCTATCATATTCTCGATCCTCACGTGCGGCTCAAGACGTGTCTCAAAGGCCGAGAGATAGATCCACGCGAACTCCAAATAATCCAACAGTTTTGGGAACAGATTGCGGACTTTGTACAACACAATCACCACTAATAACAGTATTAGCTCTAAATTATACACTAATTTGGACACCAATTCATCGTCTATTTGCACATTAATCTCATTGCTTTGATCGGCGATTGGGTTCGTTTCGATTGCATCTTCAGTGGGCAGAGGGGATGAGAGGGACGGGACGTCAAGCAGTAGATCGCTATGGATTTGGTCGGGCGGTTGACTCTCCGGTAGTGTCGCGAGTAATACCTTGGTATCTAATGGAGACAACTCTGGCTGTTGTGACGATTGCTGTACATCTGTTTCGGACAGCATTTGCTGATCACTATTATCTCCATTATTAGTGTCATTATTATCCATATGAACAGTACTTTCGGCAATGTTTACATTGATATCAATGTTATCGTTATTATTATGATTACACAAAACTAACGGTGGCTTCAGTTCGACGTCTGGAAGCACTTGTTTGGAGACAATCTCAAAGTCGATGTCATTTAAAAGCTCTTTGGAGTAGTAGTGTTGCAGCCATTTCTCAATCCTAGTTATCTTATCGTCCGTTTTATAGACCACTAAAAGACAAAACAAATTATATTTAGTTATAATATTCACACAAAACATCACTTTTGGTGACAATTATGGCAACAAATTGATGGCAGAGAAGAGGAGTGAATGCGTAAAACAATTACCAAATTTATAATTATATTTGAATTGTTGGTCAAAATATTGGATGCAATTGAGTATAGAGTCGATAATCAACTGTCGGTTATGTATATCAATGGACTCAATGGTGTCGTTGGCGTGCAGTTGAGTGCATGTGTTGGCGGCCACAGCGGCGGCCGCTT